CCCCTGCAGAGAGTTTCTAATTGGCTTTTTAGCCTCTGCTCAATTCTCCACCTTGCCCTCCAGATCATCTCTCTAAAGGCCAAGTTCAATGTATTCATGCCCTGAGTCAGAACCCCTACACTCCCCACTGCCCTTTCAATAAAGTTGAACCTCCTCACTTAGTCCGCAGGGCCCTTCTAGGTCCAGCCCTGCCCACCTCTCAGTCACTCCTCACTTCCCCCCACTCCCAACATCCCATTCAAGTCACAACCCTCAGGCATGCTAACCCAACTCTGGGGGCCAGGCCTTTGCACTCCCTTCCTCCTCCTCTTCACCCACTAGCAAACTCCTCCCCATCTTGTCACTTCCTCCAGGAAGCTTTCCTTGACCCACACTAGAGCATGTTAGGTGCCTCTGCTGCCATGATGCTTATCACGTGTCCTGGTAGCTGGCTGTTTATTAGTACACAGCCTCTGGGGTCAGTTTGCTGCAGTTCAAATTCCAATTCTGACACTAAGCTGCAAGGCCTTAAATAAATTACTTAACTGCACTGGGCCTCAGTTTCCTCAGCTATTGTGGATAATAATAATACCTACCTCACAGGTTTGTGGTGAGAATTAGATGAGAACAGATATGTAAAGCATTCAGCACAGTGAACACAGTGCATAATAAGAATGCAATAAAGGGCCGGGCGCGGTGGCTCACACCTGTAATCCTAGCATTCTGGGAGGCCAAGGCAGGAGGATCGTATGAGCTCAGGAGTTGGAGACAGCCTCAGAAAGAACGAGACCCCATCTCTACTAAAAAAAAAATAGAAAGAAATTAGCTGGACAACTAAATATATATATATATGTATATATATAAATTAGCCAGGCATGGCAGCGTGTGTCTGTAGTCCCAGCTACTTGGGAGGCTGAGGCAGGAGGATTGCTTGAGCCCAGGAGTTTGAGGTTGCTGCCTCAAAAATATATATATAGCTAGCTGTGAGCTAGGCTGATGCCCCGGTACTCTAACCCAGGCAAGAGAGTGAGACTCTGTCTCAAAAAAAAAAAAAAAAAAGAATGCTATAAATTATGATAGTTGTCTTAATCACCAAGAGTAGTGGCCATTGTGATCTCCTCTCCAATATCCATGCCATCCTTCCACCATTGCACAGCCTTCTACCGTTGCACAGCTGTTATGCAATTTGGGTAAAATAATCTTCACAGGTTAACCAGCTCCACAGATGGGACCTGATTAGTCCAAGAGTAAACCACAGCATGGAACAGAATCACCCAGACAACTTGTTAAGAACCAATTGCTGAGCCCTACCCCAAGTTGCTGATTCAGTTTCTTTTTTTTTTTTTTTTGAGACAGAGTCTCACTTTGTTGCCCAGGCTAGAGTGAGTGCCGTGGCATTAGCCTGGCTCACAGCAACCTCAATCTTCTGGTGCCAGCGATCCTACTGCCTCAGCCTCCGAGTAGCTGGGACTACAGGCATGCCACCATGCCGGCTAATTTTTGTATATATATTTTAGTTGGTCAATTAATTTATTTCTATTTTTGGTAGAGACGGGGTCTCTCGCTCAGGCTGGTTTCGAACTCCTGACCTTGAGCAATCCGCCCGCCTCGCCTCCAAAAGTGCTAGGATTACAGGCGTGAGCCACCACACCGGCTGATTCAGTTTCTTATCCTAGGATTTGCATTTCTAGCAAATTCTCAGGAGATGCTGATACTGCTGGCCCAGACGCCACACTTGAGTGACACTGGTCTAAACCAATCAGGGCATCTTGTTTCCTTTGCTTTATGATTGAGTCAAGGATGGGCTTGTATCTATGGATCCAATCTCATGGGTCCATGATTGCAGAAGAATGCTCCCTCCCCTTCTATGACACACACACACACACACACACATCAGTGTAAAGCAAGTAGCTGCAGATACTGCTGGTAGCCATCCTGCAACCACGAACAAAAGATTCATGTTCCCCTAGGCTGGAACTGGTACACACAAGAGAGAAGGCCCAACAGAATCACAGAGAAACAAAGCAGAATTCTGGCTGAATGGTGCTGGAAGCCCCAACCCCTGAATAGTTACTGGGAATAAGTTCTTTTTTTTTTTTTTTTTTATTGTTTAAGTCAATTTATGTCAAGTTTTCTGTTGCTTGCAATCAAAATATTCCTGATACATTATCACTAGCTCTGTGAGGGTAAGAACTGGATTTGTCCCCTCAATATTCCCTGCCGAGTCTGAGCCTGGCACAAAGTAGGTGCTCAGCAAACATAGGTCAGTCCCCGCAAGGATGCCTGCTCTCTTCTCACAGGGGAGCCAATGATAGCCTTAGCCAGGGGGAGCAGTGGTGGAGCTGCCTGGGTCTGTTTCTTGCCTGGCCTCTGCCCTGCATCCCGTTCCACCTCCCCTGGGCTGAGATGTGCCTGGCTTGTTTCAGGCCCTGGCATCCCCATCTTAGGCTACTTGCTTGCAAACACTCCAAGTTCACTTGCAGATACTCCAAGTTCACTTCTAGTAGTGGGTGCTGATCATTGGATTTCCATAGAAAATTTTGCTTTCCTCCAATAATCTTTGCAAAGTGAGGCTTCCTGCTTCAATTATTAATGGACAGGAGCATGTGTTCTGTAATACTCTGCCCCTCGCCTGCCCTGGGCACTCACTCCCTCATGGAGCTCTCTATCACATTTATTTCTTCTGCCACAACCAGCAATCTGTGCATGGTGGTGATGGTCTGTGCAGTTAAACCCCTGGAGTGGGAAGTCCCTTGCATTCATTTCCTAGGGCTGCCAGAACAAATTACCAAAGACTTGGTGGCTTAAAACAACAGAAAATATATTCACTCACAATTCTGGAAGCTAGAAATCAAGTCATGCTCCCTCCGAAGGCTCTAGAGGAGGCTTCCTTGTCTCCTACTTGTCTCTTCCACCCTCTGGTGTCCCCAGATGTTCTTGGGCTTGGGGCAACATAGCTTCAGCCTCTGCCTACCTCAGTCTTCACATGGCTATCTGCTCTGTGTGTCTCTGTGGGTTCTTTTCTGTCTCCTAGAAGGATACTGTCACTGGATTTACAGCCCACCCAAATCTAGTATGGTCTCATCTTGATCCTTACTTTAATTGCATTTGCAAAGACCCTATTTCCAAATAAGGTCATGATCTGAGGTTCCAGGTGGCCATGAATTTTGAGTGGGCCCTATTCAACCACGTCCCTTTAAATGAGGGAACTCACTAAAAAAAAAACACTCCCCCACTGTCCTGAGCAACACCATTAAATGCCCACTGCCTGGCAACCCCTTCTGGAGCACCCAGGTGATTCTGTTCCAGGTGTTTCCTGAATGCACTTACTGAAGCCATGACATTGAGGAGAGGTACCTTCAAGAGGCAATCCCAATGCAGGAGAATAGGGTGCTGGGGGGACCCCCGAGGAGGGAGTGGGAGGGATGCTGGGGGGTTGATGGTGAAGGAGAGGAAGGCCAGAATCAGAGATGGAGCCTCCAAACACTCATCAGGCAGGCCGTACTTTGCTGACTCACCCCCTCATTGGAGGCTGCCTTTGATATCCATTTGAACTGGATTTAACTGATAAGCAAAGGCTGTCAGGGGTCCACAGGGGCCTATGGTAGTGGCAGTAACAGCTTAGACTCTAACACTTGATTACCCAGAGGGGTGGATGTTGTGGAAAGAAAGTTGGCAACGTTGGCTTGGCCCAGCTTGCTACTAACCTGGTGTTACTGTGAGCAGCTCATTTAATCAAAGGGCAGGACAGAAGTAGAAGCAAAAGGACCTAGTGCTGTGGGAGAAGAGAGATAGAAACAGAGAGAGGGAGGTAGAGATCATCACAGTAGCTGAGACCTGTTTTCCCCAGGATACAGAAAGTCCTAGAGCAGGCGTCCTCAAACTATGGCCCACGGGCCACAGGCGGGTGTTTTGCTCATTTGGTTTTTTTACTTCAAAATAAGATATGTGCAGTGTGCATAGGACTTTGTTCATAGTTTTTTTAAAACTATAGTCCGGCCCTCCAATGGTCTGAGGGACAGTGAACTGGCCCCCTGTTTAAAAGTTTGAGGACCCCTGTTCTAGAGGGCAGAGAGGGCCTGTCATTTTCTTCTCTACTATTTCCTTAGGGTCCAACCATAATAGGTGTCAAAAACAATTTAAATATAAACATATTAAGACCCATGGTAAATCTTTAAATTCTTTTCTCTTGATTCCCAGAATCAGAAATAACTCTTTCTTCAAAAAAAAAAAAAAAATGGACTTGCTTTTAATTTCATGGACACTGCCAATCATGGGACTATGTTTACCTTTTTTTCTTCATGTCCTTCGTCACAACCGGAGTCACCTTGCTTGTGTCTTTATTCGCCTGCATCCAGCCGCCAGCACTAGATTGCAGACTGCCCAGGAGCAGGGAACCAGGCGTCTGGCCAGCTGCACCCATGGCTGGCTGTGGGCCATCTTCAGCCCGCTTCATCTTTTGCTATTCTTATTTTCCCCTCTTTATTATTTTTCATCTTATTGCATCATATGTATTTTTGCAAGCCATTCCAAATCCCTTTTTGGAAGGAGGCTAGGCATAAACAAGTACATTATTAATCCACACGATCCTCTTACTGCGATGAACTAACTCCTTTATTCAATTCACCCTTTTGTCAGTGTTTGCTGCACAATGGTCACTGCGCTTGGGTCAGGGTGACAGATGCTAAACAACTAGATAAATAAAGAAAATTCTAGAAATGAACTATTGAAGCCAAGAGCCAAAAAAAGAGAAAAAGAATAAAAGAAATAAATAAAGAAAATTCATATGAGGTACAATTAGTACAAGGGAGAAAATAAACAGGAAACAGGTGGGCTACAGTGTTTCTGTAGGATGGTGCAGGAAAGGCCTCTCCAAGGAGGTGACATTTAAGCAGGGACCCAGAGGACAAAGAGGGGTGGGGAGATCAGCCCAGGTGAACAGCACAGCACTGGAGGAGGTGGCACCAGTCATTGAAGTGGTGAACAACAGAGGAGGACTAGGCTTGTGGGGGTGACAGACCTTTTTGTTATTGTTCATTGTGGAAAACGTCACATAAGGAAACCAGGCTTAAAGTATCCCAATGCGGTTTAATGACATACTGCAACCACCACCCAGGTCAAGAAATAGAACCCTGCCAACCACTCACCCCATGGTTCCTCCTGATCACAAATATCCCATGGAGTAACCACTGCCCCGATTTTTAGAGTCATTGCATCCTTGATTTCCTTTCTAGTTTTACCACCCGACTGTGCATTGGCCATGTTCTGGTTGAATATCCAAGCGGATGTTTGAGTTCAAAGAGCTCTAAACTTCCTTCCAACCCCCTCAGCAGGTTTTCAAATACCACCGATTCTTCACATCCTATAGGCCATTTCCTTCATGAAGCTGGATGTAGAGACGCCCATGACGACATGACGTACAAAGCAACATCACAGACATTTCAAGAAGATGGTGAAAGCTCTGGGGCTTGCTGCAAGATGTCCTTTGTGCCTTGCTATTTCCTTCTCTTCATCCTCTTACTCATGAAGTCTTGAATGTCAGAGTTTATTCTTACACATATTTCCAGAACAATACCTTTTGAGAATAATTCAACAGATCAGAGAGTACACAGGGCATCTATTTCTGCAGATGTGTGTGTCCTTTTACTTCTCCAGACCAGGGATGGGAAGAGCTAAAATGGAACGCTGTTTCTGCCCTGCCTGCCCTGAGCCCTTCCAGTTCTCATGACATTGATCTCATTGGAATGACAAAGCCCACCCATGTGCCAAAGGAAGGGCTCCTTCTTCAGTGAGCACCATCTAAGCTAAGTCATTTACACTGATATTGCCACTAATAACCCTAGAGATAGGATTGTTGGGCTGGGAGTTGTCAGGAACTCAGAGAGCATTGACTGGGTGGAGGAGGCAAAGCCCCGCATATCTGGCTACAGAAAGGGTGGGAAGCCCTGCAATTCGGAGGCTACTCCTTTGAAACTTCCTTCAAACAGTGCCTTAGGCAAACTGTACCACCTGTGAAGCCCAGATGAGAATGTTGCAGGTGAGTTTTGTCCCACAGTGAGTGTTCTGGCCCTCTTACTAGCACAGCTGTTGAAAGCATCGTTCTAGTCCACATTCCTCCAACCTGCTCTGCCTCTAGGAGCCCTCCTGCATTTGTAATCCTTCACCAGTGTCACACTGCAGCAGAGAGTCCCCTGCACAGGGGATATTTCTTAGTGCACAGGCTTGAACCTGCATAATACAAGAACTCCCTCCAATAATAACTTGGTGCCAAAACATTGAATCATCGGTTATTTGGCCCATTAATCATGACATACATGTGCAAATATCCTTTGCATGTATTTCTATGTGCTCACACATGAAGATGCTAGATGAACCTAAGGTATCAGTGTTTCATGTCCATTTTGTACCGGTTGAGATCTGGGTGATCCGGGGGCAGTTTCTGGGTCCAAGAAATTTGCTCCCTCTCTTCCCTCCACCTTGAATATAGAGGGACTTGGGATCCCCAAGGCCAGTGATAGGCACGCAGGACTCTTTTGAGCTAACAACACAGCCTGGAAGTGCAGTGGGTGCAGTGAGGACCCTCAGAGACAATCTGTCCCTCTCTAGCTGCCTGACCTTGGGCAACTTTGTCAAAAGCTTTGTGCCCCAGATTCTCATTTGTAAAAGAGAGATGTACTCACACCTACCTCAAAGGTACTTTACAAGAGCTATGTAGATTTAAAAACAAAACAAAACAAAACAAAAACCTCAGCACAAGACAGTAAGCACATCTTAAATCATGCCACTTAATATCTGTCATTTAACTTTAGGTGACAGATGCTGTGCAAAATGCTGTGCAAGGACTGCGTCCTTTCATCCTCATGACAGCACTAAGGGGGTCCCATTATCAACCCCATCCTGAAGGTGAGGATGTGGAGGCTCAGAGGGTCCAGTGACTTGCCTAAGCTACACAGCTAGCGAACTGCTGCGCTGCAGGTCTAACCTGGCTGACTTAGCCACTTAGCATCATCAGTGAGTGCATCAGCAACAATATAAACCAATATTATGTTATTTCTCTCTCTTTTCTCTTACAGTATTATATTCAACAGGTGGATTGAAATTTGACCTGAAGGCACAACTCTTATGATACCAAAATTCATTGGACCTTGCATTTAAAATTACAGTGCTCATTGATGAACTATCATGCAAGGGCTAGTCATTAATAAGTAGTAAAAATGCATTTGAAATGTTTTTAAATGCTCGATATTTAAAACAAAAGTTGTTGTCTACCCCCCCACACACTTTTTTTACAAAGCCAAGGACTTTCTCCAGAAATGTAGATACTTTACATGAAAAAAAAAAAAATCATAAAGGCAATTTGTGGTGTGTAAAAAAAAAGAAAGAAAGAAAGAAAAAACAAGAAAAAAAAAAACCATACGTGCACCTTTAGGTAGTTCCCAGAACCCCTGACGCATATTCGCATATTCGTTGACCCCAGTGATAAGAAGTTCTATGAATTTACAAATAGTGAGATTCTTTGTAAAGCAAGGTCTTCCCTCAATTTGCATTTTATAACTACTTCCCTCCCCTTCTCCCTTTCTCCCTCTCTTACACACATACCTGCTGGTATATTCTCTTAAGAACTGTCTTCTGCCCCACTCCCAGGACTGTTCTGGTTCACAGCATTGGTAGAGGTGGGATTATAATTATGAAATTTTGGGTCTTCAAAGAAGAGGAGAACATTATTTTTTGATGTTGGAGTGCTGTAATGCTTTCATTTTGTTTTCCTATTCGGTTTAAATAAATTTTTAAATTCTTATAAAAAAAAAAAGAACTGTCACCCGTCGCCTTTATTTATCAGAGTAGTTTTTCCTTTTTAAATATTCTATATTTCAAACAAATGTCACCATAACAAACCTTTTGGTCTTATAAAACATTAGCACAATTGTAGCTATATCATTTGGCTAATCTGATACTGCAGTTAATGTGCAACCCTTTAATTTTCAAGCCTGAACTTGCCCCTGACCTGATTTGTGTATTTCCTACAGAATGTGCTCAGCATGGCTATGGTCTAGAGCTACAAAACCAGATCAGTTTGAGGGAGCAGCTGGGATAGGTGACACCCTTAGTACAAAAGCAGTCTACTCATTCACCAAAGATACACATTGTTGACATTATTTAGTTATCTCTTTCGGTTACTGTTTGCAAGGGACTTTGAGTTTAAAGAAGTGCTTCATATAACTTCACGTGCAGCATAATATCTAACTGTTGGGACAAAATTGGACTAGAAGGTAAAACTCTATGAACCCCAAGCTCACTGGACTCTCTTTTAAAATTAGGGTGCTCATTGATGAATATGCCCTGAGAACATGCTATTGTTGCAGTCTTCTTTATTCAAAATCACTTAAAAAAAAGTGACCATGCACTGCCTTCTCCATGTTTATTGCCAGTAATCCTCATGACAATCTTGTGATGAATCAGAACTCCAATTTCACAGACAAGGAAACTGAGGACAAGAGAATTTAACTACTTTGCCCAAGGTCACCCCGCTAGGAACTGGCCCATGATCTGTTTAGCTTAGAAATTCACACTTTTCCGGCCATGATGTAGCTTTCCTGGTTTTGGCCTTGATTTGGCTTTAGACTGGTACTTATAGAATGTCCCCACTATAAGTGGAAACATTTACTTCATCCTTGATTAGGGCTGCATTTGCCAAAATTCCTCATGTCCTTAAAGCCTAACACTGACAAAGGGGAAGCCCAAGCAGAACTAGCAGAGAAGGTTGCAGATTAATGTCTTTAACATTGCCATGCAATCTATTTTACAGTAAGGAAAGTATTTACCAATTTAATTGTAGAACTTTAAAAAAAAAAAAAAGCATGTAGTTAGCATCAGGTCCTAAAATGAAAGTGTTGGGCCTACATTCCATATTCCCAAAAACATTTTTTTGTAAACAAGAATTATTCCAAAATGGATAATTAGTTCCAAGATTTCCTGCCATTGGCTTACTTTTGCTATTAGGTAACATAAACCTGTCCCGGAAAAATAAAAGCCACGGTGCTAAATAACCACCTGCCTAGACTGACAGACAGGCAGAGTAAAACCTGGCCTTTCACATAAAGAGATAATTAAACAAATGGACTGTTTCAGTTTGTGTCAGAAGTCACCCTCTCCCTTTGATCTGTACTTCAGCTAAGGTGCATCCCGGACCTTAGGGGTCATGGGAGAAGAGGGGAAGGGCAAGAGAGAAATTTCAGTCCACCTTGAAGTGTGAAGTGTTTGCTTTTCCCCAGACATCTCATCTCACTTCCTCTGGAGTGAAAATCTACCCTCCATATTCCTTAACGAAACCACCCTGGCATTCTTCAGCTGCTCTTCCCAAAACTTTGAGAAGCTCACAACGAAGTCATTGCTTTCTAAAAGGCTTCTGGTAACTTACACCATGAAATCTGTGGGCTCTGAGACATGCTGTGGGCTTTTTAGAGGCCCCTGCAATTTTTTTTTTTAATGTGGTAAAATTCCGATCTTTTGGGACCAGAATCTAAATGCAACATCTTTATACTAATAAAAATCATCATCATCATAATATTAATTAAAAGTCGCAGCATTTTGTTTAACCCCTCAATTGCAACTTCCCTCTTTGTTCCTTATTCATGAATATCATCACAAATTAGAGACACTACAGATCACATGTATGCAAAAAGAGGGCTCTTATCTGATTTGGGAAGGGTTGATAGAGATGATTTCTACCACTCTTCCTAGTTTTTTAAAGCTTCTTATCTTTTCTTTTGTTCCCTCCCATGACTTCATATCATTGGCAATGTAGTAAAATTTGAAATTCTCTCTTTGTGCATCTTCCTGCCACCCCTATCTGCAAGGCCCTGAGGCCCCATTAATTTCAAAATGATTAGGCAGAGTGGAGATAAGCCGCTGGGAATGGGAGCCAGTATCCAAGGAATCCTTACCCGCCCTTGTTGACTTGATCAAGTCAAAGGTACTCTTATCCTAATTTAACCTAAATCAGAAATCCTAGAAGGAAGCAGAGATGTCTCTAGAATCCTTCCAAAAGCAGCAGCCTGGAGCAGCACTGGTTCTCTAGGACTCAAGCCTTCTAATGCTCACCTTGCACAACCAGAAGTAATAAATCTGCCAATTCGATTTGAAGGTGACACTGATTCAAGCAATTAGCTACTCATTGTAGATCCATCTAACTGACTAAAACGTGGAGATACTGCTCTGTGATTTGCAGATACAGTTCCGGGGAACCTGACAGTGCGATTGGTATTTTCCCCTGCCCTGCCAATACTCAGAGTGGAGGCATTTCTTTTGCCAAAAGCAGAGAGGACATGTTTGAACTCTGGCTTCAACACTTACTGGGCTGTGTGGGCTTGCTGAGGTTTCTGGACTTCTCTGGACTTCAGCTGCCCTCAGTAAATGAGGGAGATATTATCCATGTCCATGGCAAGAGGCAAAAAGAATGAACAATGGACACTGTCCCCTCTTCAGGAGAAGCAGCAGGCTCCTCAGAAGGAAATCCATTCCCCAAGGCTTCCCTCTCTCTGCCACTCACTTTGGCCAGAGGCTGGAGGCGGTGGGCCTAAGGGGGCAGTTTGGCTATGCCGAGGGCCCTTACAGCATGTAATCCTGTTATATCTTTGAGCATTAACCACACCTTGTTATTTTTTTGGAAATTGAGAAAAGTATTTAATTTCTCTCCATGGTTTCCACTTATCTTCCAGACTTGGTCATTATCCTGGTCCTCACTCAAATTCTCTGTCAACTGGTGGCTTTGACTAATGAACACCCTGAATTCTAGTCCTTGCAGGCTTGACTCCATGTGTCTTCTCGGTTTCATGTTCACTGACCTAGAACATGTGGTGACTGCTATGTTACCTTGCGCTTAGCACTTGTAAATCCCAAAGGAAGGGTTCAATAAATGCTGGCTGAGTAAAAGCAAAGATCCACTTTTATTTTAAGGATCTTGGATATCATAGAGTTTCTGTAAGTCTATCTAAAAGTTGGAGGACATCAGGCCAAGAGGGTTTTCGCTCATTTTAAGAGTAATTCTCAGCCCAGTGTGGGCGCTCACGCCTGTACTCCTAAGCACTCCAGGAATCCCAGGCAGGAGGATGGCTTGAGGACAGGAGTTCGAGACCAGCCTGAGCAAGAGCAAGACCCTATCTCTACAAAAAATAAAATAAATAGAGTGGCACGCACCAGTAGTCTCAGCTACCCGGGAGGCTGAGGCAGGAGGATCCCTTGAACCCAGGAAGATGAGGTTGCAGTGAGCTATGATGATGCCACTGATCTCTACCTGGGGTGACAGAGTAAGACTCTGTGTCAAAAAAAAAAAAAAGAGAGAGAGACTAATTCTCAGAGATTCCAACTGCTTCTTTGACCCTTTTTCTTTTTTTTTTTTTTTTTTTGAGACAGAGTCTCACTCTGTTGCCCGGGCTAGAGTGCCATGGCGTCAGCCTAGCTCACAGCAACCTCAAACTCATGGGCTGACGCAATCCTGCCTCAGCTTCCCGAGTAGCTGGGACTACAGACATGTGCCACCATGCCCGGCTAATTTTTTCTATATATTTTTAGTTGGCTAATTAATGTATTTCTATTTTCAGTAGAGATGCTGTCTTGCTCTTGCTCAGGCTGGTTTCGAACTCCTGACCTTGAGTGATCCACCCGCCTCGGCCTCCCAGAGTGCTAGGATTATAGGCGAGAACCATCACACCCGGCCTCCTTTGACACTTTTGACAGAAGCTTTCTTTCTTTTTATTTAAGATAAATTTCAAAACTATGCATAGGAAAAAAAGAAGTCACCAAAATATTAACAACAACTGTATTAGATTGGTGGAACTATGTGTGCTATTTCTATAATATCCATGTATTTTTTATAATAGTTTATTTTATAAATTTGAGAAACAATTTACTGATGATTTGAATCAATGTTAATTAAGTATATAAAATATATTCAAGCCTCCATTCTGTTCAGTTCTTTCTCCATGGTCTTTCTCATTTTATATTTCTATAAAGAGTATCCTAATGTCAGCTATGGATTTAAATTACCACCATGAGAAGCCTGTGTTTATTGACTATTGAGTGCCTATCCTATTTTTGAGATATATTGAGTTATATGAGAAAAAAAAGAAAAGGGATCTGGGCATGGTTTTGAATGACAGCCAGGGAGAAGCTACAGAGAGGCACATACCAGAAAGTCCGATATCCCTATTTCTCTTCCTGTGTTTGTTCCTGGATTTGAAACTGCCTGGATTATGTTTGGTAGCGTGTAAACATCTGTCCAAAGGGATACTTTGAAATGATCTCTGCATTAGTGTTATTCACACGGAAAACGAAGCAGTCCCAGAGCTGCAGAAACATGACAAGGAAAAGAACAAATAAGGTTGAGAGAGTGACGGGAAGCACTGTGACGCGCTGTTGCCTATTCCACCTGACACTTTACCTGTGTCTCCTTTTCCATTACCGCAAGTTGTCGAGATGTTTGTGGATAAACAGAGCCCCTTCTCTCAGTGATCTATCTTCTCACACTGCTTGATTTGTGCACGGATCACTGCCCACCCCTGGTGAAATGACCTAGAAACCTCAACAGGCTTTTGAAAAATGAATCAAATGCTGATTTAATTGCAGTGCAATGCAAGACACTGTCCACATACCTATGTATAGCTCCTGTAGACCTTGGATGAGTTCATGGGGTCCCAATGCCGACCAGAAAGACTCTGGTTTCTTACAACTTTTAAACCTTCCTACCCTCTGAATCCAACCTCCCACCCTTCTAGTCTCATCTGCCACCTCCATCCATCCACAAAAATATTTTTTCCTTCCCTGCTGTCATCTTTTTGGGCCTCCATGCTGTTCATTCTGTCACAAATGTCCATCCTTCCTTCTGGAGAAGCCACTCTGCTCAAATTCCACCTCCCCAGCAGCCTTCTCTGAGTACCCCAGATTTCTACTGCATAGTCTATGTACGTGCTTGATTCATGTCCCCTAAAGGTTGAGACTCTCCTGGTATGGGGGATGCTAAATGATTCCTTGATTCTAGAATGTTGAATAAAAGCTCACTGAAAGTATTTACACATATATTTAATAGCACAAGGCAATTTAAAAAATCTTCAGTGCTTCTGCATTTGGCGGTACTTTTACCTCATACCTGTCTCTCCTCATACCTGTCTCCTCTCTCAGTGCCTGCTTTGGTAGGTGAGATTTCTCACCCATCCCACCAGCCAAGGGACCAATATTTGAGAATTGTTTTTTATGGGCCCAGGATATAATTTCTCCTCTTCATTTGACATCTGACTTCCAAAGTTGATTTGTTGTAGTGTTATGTCCCCAGAAGGCCAATTAGCTGAAAATCAATTTACCAAACGACCAATTTGCTAAATCAATTCTAGTTCTATAGTAAGTCTAAAGAGGTAGACTTGTGGGTCTCAAAGATTTGGATAAGCCATTACAGGGGAGAGGCAGGAAGGGACATTCCAGGAGAGACAATCAGCATGAGCAGGAAAAAAAAAAAAAAAAGATTTTTTTTCTTGGCATTTCTAACCCCTCCCCTGCAAAAGAAGAAAAAAATAGTCTCAAAATAAATGATTGGCAAATACTGGATACTTTTCTGTGGTTACAGAGGCTCTTACTGCTGCAACTGCATAAATCTTCAGAAATTTTTGTCTTCATTTGCTTTACACTTTGAGTAGCTGCCTTCTTTTTTCCTGTTTCTTGGTAACACAGGTTCTGCTAAAGAATGGAGATCCAGCCCTGAAGAACAAATTTGCCTCCCTAAAGGGCCCAACCTACATGAGTCGGCTTGAGTTTGATGGAAATTGGCTTGTCCTGTCACGTAGCTGGAAGTGGGACAGCAAACCCCAGTATATTTATTTGCTCAGTGTTTTTGTTAGCCTCAAGAAAGAAGAAGAAGAAGAAGAAAAGAAGATGATGGTACATCCAATGGACCTGCTGATTTTCACCGGTTGGGAGACACCCAGTGTTCCTACAGCCATGATCTAGAACCTCCTGCACAGCTGCTGTGACTTCAGTGATGGTGGAGGAGGGTCATGTATGTCATAAAATGTGGGTTCTAGGACCACACCCAGGCCTATCACAACAGAATCTTTGGGAGTGGGGCCTAGGAACCTGAATTTTAAAACCTGGTGATTTTTATATTCATTCAAGTTTGAGAAGAAATCCAAATAAATAAATAAATACACCAAGAATGAAATGCAGCTTTTGAAACATTTTATTATTATTATTATTTTTTTATGGTACTCAAGAGTAGCCCTTCTGCTCAGTCTATCTGTCTTGGTATTCCTTCTTTCAGGCAAAAGAGCTACTTTAAATGTCTGACATGTGAATACAGAATAAACATCTAAACACCACATTAAAAGTCAGAGATTATCAGATTCAATAAAAAGCAACTGCACGTTGCTGATAAGAAAACCACTTTAAATGTAAAGATGCAATAAATTCAAAGTAAAAGTATGGGGAAATATATACAGCGCTAACACTAAAAAAAGCCCATAATGGATGTATTAATATTACTATCGGCCGGGCGTGGTGGTTCACGCCTGTAATCCTAGCACTTTGGGAGGCCGAGGCGGGCAGATTGCTCAAGGTCTGGAGTTCGAAACCAGCCTGAGCGAGACCCCGTCTCTATCAAAAATAGAAATAAATTAATTGACCAACTAAAAATATATATACAAAAAATTAGCCGGGCATGGTGGCGCATGCCTGTAGTCCCAGCTACTCGGGAGGCTGAGGCAGTAGGATCTCTGAGCCCCGGAGATTGAGGTTGCTGTGAGCCAGGCTGACGCCACGGCACTCACTCTAGCCTGGGCAACAAACTGAGACTCTGTCTCAAAAAAAAAAAAAAAAATATTACTATCAAGGTAGATTTCAGACCAAAGACTATCAATAGAGATAAAGAAGGTCATTACATAACTTTGAAAGGGTCAATTCATTAAGACTTAACAACCCTAAATGTTTATGTACTTAATATCAGTACTTCAAAATATACAAAGCAAAAATTGAGAGAACTATGAAAAGAAATAGTCAAGCCTACATTAAAGTTGGAGATTTCAATATTCCTCTATTAATATTGGATAGGACAAGTAAAATCAGCAAGGACTTAGAAGACTTGATCAAACAACTTGACCGAATTGACATTTATAGAGCACTCCATTCAACAGCCCCAGAATATATGTATTTTTTCAAATCCATATGGAACATTTACCAAGATAGATCATGTTCTAGACCATAAAACAAATTTCAATAAATTTTAAAGGACTCAAATCATACAAACCATCCTCTTTGATCACAATGGAATTAAATTAGAAAGAAAATCAATACCTATGTAAAATACCCAAATATTTGAAAACTAAATAATACAACTTCTAAATAACTCAAGAAGAAATCAAAAGAGAAATTGAAAAGTGTTTTAAAGTGAACAAAAATTAAAATATAACATCAAAAATTTTTTTCCTACAAGAGCTTTTAGAATAAAATAAAATATAATATCAAAATTTGTGTGATGGGCCGAGCACAATGGCTCATACCTGTAATCCTAGCACTTTGGGAGGCTGAGACAGGAGGATCACTTGAGACCAGGAGTTTGAGACCAGCTTGAGCAAGAGCAAGACCCTGACTCTACAAAAAATAGAAAATAGGTGTGATGATGTATCCCTATAGTCCCAGCTGCTCAGGAGGCTGAGGCAGGAGGATTGCTTGAGCCTAGGAGTTTGAAGTTGCAGTGAGCTATGATGATGACACTGCACTCTACCCAGGGTGACAGAGAGACAATCTGTTTAACAAAAAAGAAAAGAAAATGACAAATATTAAGAATATCAAGAATAAGAGAGGGAACAGCGCTAGAGATCCTAGAAATATTACAAGATAGTAAGAGAACATGACAACTTTATGCCAGTAAATTTGACAACTTAGATAAAATAGACAAATTCCTTGAAAGATACAACTACTAAGATCCATTCAAGAAGAAATAAATAACTCAAATACCTTTATATTTAAAGAAATTGAATTTCTTGAATTCAATTGAATCTAATTGAATCTAATTAAAAATTCTCTCTCTCTCTCTCTCTCTCTCTCTCTCACACACACACACACACACACACACACACACAAATTCCAAGTCCAGATGTCTTCACTGGTGAATTCCACCAAACATTTAAGGAGGAAATAATACCATTCTACACAAAATCTTCCAGAAAATTGAAGAGGAAGGAATGCATCCCAATTTATTCTATTGTGTGAGGTCACATTACCTTTATTGCAAAACTAGATAAAGCCCTTATAGGAAAAGAAAACTTGCTGATATTTCTCATGAACATGTACACAAAAATTCTTACCAAAATTTTAGAAAATCAAATCCCAAAATACGTAACAAATATTTCAGGGGACTAGCTGTACTAGTGCTTTTATCCCAGGAATGCAAAGAATAGCATTTGAAAATCAGTTACTGTGATTCACCATAACAATAGACTAAAGTAGAAAACCCATTTTATCATTTCAATAGATGCAGAAAAAGCAGTTGATAAAATTAAATATGCGGCTGGGGCATGGTGGCTCATGCCTGAAATCTTAGCACTTTGGGAGGCCAAGAGGGAGGATTGCTTGAGCTCAGGAGTTCAAGACCAACCTGAGCAGGAGAGAGACTCCGTGTCTCTAGAGTAGAGACGTGCCCAGCTAGAAAAAAATTAGCTGGGCACGGTGCTGCATGCCTATAGTCCCAGCTACCTGGGAGGCTGAGGCAAGAGGATTGCCTGAGCCCAGGAGTCTGAGGTTGCTGTGAGCTAGGCTGATGCTACGGCACTCTAGCTTGGGCAACAAGAATTGTTTTCCAATTGTTGCTCTTTCCAGACAACATGATTACCTATGTAGAAAATCCAAAGAATACACAAAAGAGCTTCAAATCTAACAAGTAGGTTTAGTAAGGCTATAGCATATAAGGTTAACACACACAAGTCAATCACATTTTTATGTTTTAGCAATGAACAACTCAAAATTGAAATTTTAAAAAGTATCATTTACAACACCATCAAAAAACATCAAATAGGTAAAAATTTAACAAAATATGTGCAACGTCTATTTGCTGAAAACCACAAAACGCTAATGAAAAAAATCAAGGAAAATTGAAATAAATGGAGAACACTATGTTCATGGGTTGGAAGACTCAATATTGTTAAGATGCCAAATCTCTCTAAATTGATTTATATAGCTTTAGTGGAATTTCCGCTTTCATGAAAATTCTAGCAAGAGTTTTTGTAAAACTCAACAAGCTAATTCTAAAATTTATATAGAAAGGCAAAGAAACTAAAATAATCAAAATAATTTTTGAAATAACAAAGTGGGAGGACTCACATTGCTTGATTTTAAAGGCCTTACTATAAAGCTACAGTAATCAATACAGATCAAGGAACAAAATTGCAAATACAGAAGTAGAGGCAACACATATATAGTCCATTGATTTTCTACAAAGGTGCAAAGGCAATTCAATGAAGAAAGAAAAGACTTTTCAACAAATGATGCTGAAACAATTGGGCATTCTAATGCAAAAAAATAAAAGGAGAGAGAGAAATGAATCTCAATCTATACCTCACATCCTATGCAAAAATTAACTTGGAATGGATCACTAAATCTAACACTATAAAACTTGCAGAAAAAAATACAGGAAAAAATCTTTGTGACTTTGGGATAGGCAGATTTATTAGATGTGATACCAAAAGCACACTCCTTGAAGTAATTGTTTTATATCTTGACCGCTTGACTGTGTCGGTGGTTACACATCTGAATGTATCTGTTGAAATTCATGGAAATAGACATTAAGATGATGAGTGTAATGTATGTAACTTAATACAATTTATTTCAATTAATGAAAAAAGAAGCAAGACATGTAAATACCAGAGCTGTGTAAATGCCAAGTTGATCAGGAACTGATCATCTTGAAGGTGACAACTGAAATGGCACTGGCTGGGTTTGGAGGCAAAAACAATGGGGAGCTGCTGAAAAAAGGTAAAAACAAGAAATCAGTAAAAGTTTAAACCAGTCAAAGTGGAGTTGGGGAAGAGACAATTTGGACAATCAGCTGGTTTTATGAGAAACAGGGAAGAGAGAGGCACAGCCTTGAGATCAGAAATGGTGAGTCTGCAGCACCAGCCTTAGCTACTCATTGATGGGCACTGCAGAAGGGCGTGGTCTGGCTGGTGGTGATGGTGGAGGAGCACTCAGGGCAGATCTGGGGAGAGAAGCCCAATGAACAGATCACTGCGCGCTGAGTCCAATACCTTATCATTATGTTGGGATGCGGTGGAAAGAATATGGACCCAGGAATTGGGATATCTGGGTCCAGGGTGCCACCCAGCCAGTGACAAGCTGTGTGAGCTGTGAAACCAGACAAGCCTCAGACACCACATCTGACATGAGGGCTTAGAAGCACGGGGTCTCAAGTCTCTTCTAACTAACTCTTGGTTGGTTACCTAATTTATATCTTTTTTTTTTTTTGAGACAGACTCTCACTTTGTTGCCCAGGCTAGAGTGAGTGCCATGGTGTCAGCCTAGATCACAGCAACACCTCAATCTCCTGGACTCAAGCAATCCTCTGCCTCAGCTTCCCAAGTAGGAGTACCATGCCCGGCTAATTTTTTTTTTGTATATATATTTTTTAGGTTGGTCATTAATTTCTTTCTATTTAGTGAGTTGGGGTCCACTCTTGCTCAGGCGGTTCGAACTCCTGACTCAAGCTTATCCGCCTGCTCGGCTCCAGAGTGCTAGGATTCAGGCGTGAGCCACCACACCTGGCCTCCTAATTTATATCTTAAAAGAGTTCTCTGGAATATACATTCACACAGTCTTTGTAACCATTATACAGCCCTCAATACCGCACCTCATCAGTTCAAGCAGTGGTGGAGTGTTTTTGCCGGAGAGGTTGGTTTGAGATAATCTTACTCTGTTGCCGCAGGCCTACGCATGCAGTGGCACGATTATACGTTCCGCAGCCTCCACTCTGGGTTCAGCCCTCCTCCTCGCCTGTGAGTAGGCCAGAAAGGCGCCTACCACCATGTAGCTATTTTATTTTTGTAGAGACGCGGAC